CGAAACCCACCCATGAAATCCCAAGCTAAACTTTAAATTTCTAATTAACTATAGCTTGCTACAGAAAATAAATAAAGTTAATTCTTATGCTATAGCCACTACTATATCATCATAATAATCATAAAGTCATTAATCTAAACGCAAAAGTCTACTGGTTTAACAGATGCTAAAGAAATTTGAATAAATATCGTTTGAAATCCCTAATCGAAAGATATTTATTATAAGCTACTCTTCTACAATAATCGCCAACACAAATTTGTCTTAATATGTAGTTTATGACTAATATCTAAATTTATGACAATAACAGAAAAGAAACAAACTAAAATCCCGTTAAATAAATAGAACACATTTAAATAAAATGGCAGTAAAATTATGTGAGAAATAAAATATCAAAACAACAATTAATTATACAAACGGTTCTAATCAAAAACTATATTATGTTCATTTGCTAAGAGAGTGGCTTAACTAAAAAAGAGCGTTTAAAGAAGAGCGACTTTGAATGTTATAAGACATTTGAATATTTTTTAAATAACTTTTAAACAAACCATAGTATTCGGTACACGTGATCAAGTAAATTTTATCGTAATTCTCTTTTTTTAGATACCACCATCCCAAGACAACCTGTACGTTGAATGAAGGAAAATTGAAAAAGTATTTAGTGATACTACGACAAAAGTCAGTATCACTAAATACGTGCAGAAACTGGAGAGAAATTGCACTAACTCCAACCTTATCTAAAATGTCCTCTTTCTCCTGCGAAAGCAACATGTATTGATCAGATCAAGAACCTACGTATGTATGGAAATCCTTCCCTCGAACTATCATACACATACACATACATATACAACGCCTGCGTGAAATCTTTTCCCCTCTAAGGATCCGATCCAGCGTTGCCACTCACAATTTATTTTTCTTACCAAAGTTCCGACAAAAAACTACCAAAACGTTCCAAAAACTACCAAATTTTTCCTTAGGGACAATTGCTTCTGTCTAGAGTTTCATTATTTTTAAAACTAATATGTAATATCATACAATGATTTGTTCCGAAGAATCAATGGTTTACTATATAGTTATGAAATACATAATTGCTGTTTTCGACAAAATTTGTACCAAAATCATTCCCGAGAAAATAGTAATAGTATTATATTCGGCTATGACGAATCATATATGTATATCCACCATCAGCATTTATCGTATAAATTAAGGCTGGAAAAATCCTTTTATTATACTACGGTTAACTAATTTGCTAAAAGGGGCTATGGCTGTAAAAGGATCAATTGCGGACCAATCGACATGACATGGCTATATCGTCTTAGAATCTAATGAGAACCTGAAAAAATATATACTTACAAACGGAATCACAAAATCAATATCCCCCTAATATTTTTATACCCATTAAAAAAATTGGGGTATATTAATTTTGTGATTCAGTTTGTAAGGTAGTAGTCCCACCAAATTATATATTCATTCATGAATCTGGCTTCTTAGAAAAAAATGAATTAGTGTGGCCTCCAGTAGGTTAGTGGTTTATGTTATAGTCAGACCTGACGTTGTGCGTTCAATTCCCACCTGAGGCATTGGTTAGGAAGTTCACAACGGGACCGATGCAAGCCTAGAAGTATTCCTTCCGATTTTATGTAACATCCTCATTTCAAACTAACTAACTTACTAACATTCATGAATCAGAAATGTTGAAATACATAGAAACTTAATATTTTCTTAGAACAAACAATTTCTTAGAATTCTTATTACTTTGCCATAACAAGGTCAGAAATGTTTATAAATTAATATGCATGAGATCAAAATTATCTAATCCTACCAAATTTGGACCAAAATTTAAACCTACCGACCAAACTACCAAAAGTCACTTCAGAGATTTGAAACTACCAATTTTGGTCCAATTGGACCAAAGTGGCAACGCTGATCCGATCACAAACAAACAACATCTTCAAATTGCTGATGATAACATACAAATTAAGTGAAGAATATACAACTGGATTGGTCAATACAACTGGAATGTAGGTTCCAGGACAAGAGGAAGACCGAAAACAACTCCTTTAACGAACTACAACATATAGCAAATCACAGAAAATGTTGAAGATTCTACATAAAAACGCTGTAATGCTGTAATTCAAATTTTGATAATAGAGGTCAATTGTATTTCTCATAAGAAGGATAACTTTAGAACGATGTTCGAAAAACACGAATTTTGAGTTATGCCAGTCTTGTAGTAAATGACCGATTTATCAATTTACAAATAAACCATGTACGATGAGTGCTTAATATTCAATAATTCCACACCTTGAGATTATAACATATTTTATACATTGCCCAAAAAATATGTTTATGTTTCTTATTCTTTTATTTTGAAAGTCTTAATTGATGGATTGATTTTAGGCAGCCTAATAAATGCCACGAAATACATCAATCTGTTAAAAAATGAACTCTCCTCAAAAAATCTACAATAAATACAATCGATCAGTTTCTATTATTAATATATAAATGGTCAAACCAAACTACTAGGCCAGAACATATAGACAAATAAAAGAATTCAATTAAAATAAAGAAATGTATAAATTATGCTAATAAATGGCGAACATAAAGATAAATAAACATAAATATCAAATTAAATAAAAAAGATGAAGGAGAAAAAAATGAACAATTTCGCCAAACAATTGAATGAAATTTATGTAAATGATCACGATTTTTTTTATTGAACTCTCAGGTGTTAATACGATCATCTTAAACAGCGTGAAATGCCAACAAAAACAAAACTTTCATTTGTATTCATATTCAAATTGAAAGAATCTAAACAATAGATTTTAAAATAGATTAAAACAAACAAAAATTAAAAGAAAAACATGATCAGTTGTAAATTATGTATCTATATTAATGATGTTAGGAATTAGAGTCTTACGAAGATACTATGGTTTCTTTGTTAAAACGTTCGACTTTCATTGAGGCAAAGTAGAGAATTTAGTTCAGATGAAACCAGATAAGAGAATAGTTCAGAAGTTCTTGCTAAGAAACTACAAAATTAATTTTAAAACTTAAATAAAACAAGGATTAACAAAATGTGGAAACGTCATGTAAGTTAGAAAGATGATTGCAATGTAAAAGTATAGAAATACTACAATATATATTTTTCTTTTAAATTTTAAAATTGAGAAGAATACATTATTTTTTACATTAATAACCCAATTTCATTTATAACTTTTCACAGATAATTCTATTATTATGTATTCTCTACGTTGGAGACACCTTAGCGAAATCTATTCGTCCTACTAGCTTTGACTACGATTATCTAGTAGAAAGTCGCAAAGCACCCAAACGTCATAGAGGAAAAAGTGTAACTACTACTCCCAGACCACTTTTACAACAATATTGGCACAGTTTTGTACGAAATTTACCCACTTTGCCACCGCTCTCATGGAATAATATAACAAATCCCATAGGCAATCTTTTTAATGCAGGAGCTCAAGAAATCATTGAAACACCAGTGGCCATGCATTACACAATGGAAGAACAGGAAGGACCCAATAGAAGGCGAAGAACAAAAACCTCTAAACGAAAATCATCGTCAAAGAAAAGTAAAAATGGCAAGGGATTACAATCGAGAAATTATTATGGTTATGATGATAGTTACAACAATGGCTATCAATATACACAATTACAATTGCAACCCTTAGGTATAGATCAGAATAGAGTAATGCATTTCTATGATCCAGCGTCAGGGCAATATTATGCTTTGCAACAGGAGCCACAGTCGGCTTATTATAATCAGTATGGTAATCAATATAACAATCAATACAATAATTACGGCGAGAGCGGTTATGATGACGAAGATCATGGCGGTTCCAGTAGTGACGATTATCATGATGATAGTTATGGGGACTATAGTCATAATGGTTATGATTCTGAACAGGGATACGGTTCTGACAACGGTTACGAAACAGAAGATGGTTACGGTTCGGATCCTGGATACGATTCTGAACCAGGTTACGAAGCTGACGACGGATATGGTTCGGACCATGGCTACGATTCTGAGGATAGTTATGGAGGTTCCGAACACAGTGAATACGGTTATGACAGTGGTGCAGAGCCTTATGATGACGGTCATATGGAATATAATGATGATGGTGTCGAAGTGGTCGATAACTGGGGTTATAATGATGAAGAAATTTTTGCCGACAGAAAACTAAAAGGAGGATCTGTAGATAATCTCGAAGCTATTGCCGGAAGTATTATTAAAATTCAAAAGCATCTTTTAAAACCAGAATCTGAAGAAGATGTAAAACTTTTACTTTCTAAAATGAAAAAACCAAACGACACAAAAGATAAGACCTTAAAGAAACCAGTAATAACTGAAGTAAATGAAACAATGGAAAAACATGAAACTAATGAGAAACCCGTAATTGAATCAGGACGTAATGTTTTGGGTGCTTCAAAGAAGGGAAGCGCCACCAGTAAGAGAAAGCAATCTAATTCTAAGAAAGAAGTAGAAGCTGTCCGCAATAATTTAGGTACATTTATGAAAGATGATGCAATTAATAGAAGAAAACAAACTGCCAATACTAAAATTTCTTCACACTTGGTAGAGAAACCTAGAGGAAAACAAAAATATTATATATTCCCAGCTAACTTTTGGTTATAAAGAGAGCAACTTTATTTAGATAACGCTTCATAAATTGAAAAAATAAAATATTTTTCTGAATACGCAAATTTTATGCAACGTTTTAAATTTTTATTAAGAACAATAAGAGATTGTGGTTTGTGTTTGAATTTGTTATAAAGTATTCACATCACTATTTTTAAACTTGATAAATTGCAAACTTTTGGATAAAGAAATAAGATGAAAAATTACAAAAAAAAAATTACCTGTTGGAGCTTATTAAACATTTCAATATAATCTTGATTTTTGAATTGTTGGGCTTTTCTTATGTTAAATTAAGGGAATCTTGATTTAAATTTCATATAATTTATTCTTGAAAATTCTATAAAAAGTATTAAAAGTAAAAGCATTAAAAAAGCATTAACTATAACAAGTTAATAAATATTTTGTATAAACTCAACTTACAATTAGTATTCATGTATGTACGTATGTAAAACTAATAAATTTATTTAAATGCAACTAGGGAAAATGCGAGGTGAAGAATGTAGAAATATCATTAATATAGTCATGTTTCTCTAGGTAAGTCAACATGATCCACAATTTCTAAATTATCAAAATAGGGATGAAGCATAGCATTTTTAGCTGATATTCTTTCATTGGGATCATAAACCATCATGGCCTGTAGAAAGAATATTAATTTTTATTAATTTATTTAATTTAACGATGGTATTAAAACTTACTTTAAAGAGTTCATAACCATCATGTTTAGCTACAATTTCTGGTACATTAGATTTTTCCCATCTGGGAAATTTTGCTTTATAATCTGGCAATTGTGATACACCAGGCCAAGTTTCTTCATCTGGTGTACCTAAAGTTCGAAATATTCTATATAATTGATCAATTTCACTGTCACCGGGAAATAAAGATCGTCGCATTATCTGTAAATAAAAGTATTAATTTTGCAAATAGATAGATAGATAGATGGATGGATAGATAGATAGATAGATAGATAGATAGATAGATAGATAGATAGATAGATAGATAGATAGATAGATAGATAGATAGATAGATAGATAGATAGATAGATAGATAGATAGATAGATAGATAGATAGATAGATAGATAGATAGATAGATAGATAGATAGATAGATAGATAGATAGATATATAGATAGATAGATAGATAGATAGATATATAGATAGATAGATAGATAGATAGATAGATAGATAGATAGATAGATATATAGATATACTTAAAATCGACAAATTCGACATTCGATTTATTAGCGTTGACCTCCGCTATGTTAGTGTCCTAGTCTGGTAAACCGGAGGTCGTGGGTTCGATTCCCACCTGAGGCATTGGTTAAGGAGCGCACAAACGGCCCAATAGAGGCCTAGGTGTATTTCATCTTCTTTCAAACTAACTTACTAATTAACTATAACGTCTCAAATATTACCAGAAAGTTTTTTTTCAATATTTAGGACACGATATCCTGATGAGAAATCTGATGTTATATAGAAATTCTATTGCCAGATTTTGATTTAGCGGAGCTCAATTCTTTAAAAATGTATACTCTAACCCAACAATTTGTAGGCTTAGTTAATCGCAATTACAATTTTTAATTATAATCTTCCATAAATTTAAAATTAACATAATTTTTGTACTTACCATTTCTGCAAATATACAACCCAAACTCCATATATCCATGCCAGTGGCATAGAATTTTGTACCCAAAAGTATTTCCGGAGCACGATACCATAAAGTAACAACTTCATGGGTGTAGGCTCTCATGGGCATGTTGAAAGCTCTAGCCAAACCGAAATCAGCCAACTAAATAGACAATTTAATAAGATAATTTAAAATGAAACATAAAATATTGCTTAAAATAAAATTACCTTTATATTTCCCGCAGCATCTACTAGTAAATTTTGTGGTTTCAAATCTCTATGCAAAATACGATTTGTATGACAGAAAGCAATGGCATCAAACATTTGAAACATGTAACTCTGTAAAATTGGAAAAAAGCACACATTACTTCATTACTTTATTTTTTACTAATTAAAAAAAAAGAGTTAAAAAAACAACATATCTGACTGTTTTAACAATAAACATTTTTTTGCGTTAATTGAGGTTAATAACACAACTTTGGCATAGAAAATGGAGTTTTTAAAAAACTATTTATGAATAAGGTTGTAAATCTTGAATGATACTCAAAACAGTTATGATAATAATACAAAATTGCTAATAAAAATATGAATGTTAAAACTTCAAAATATAAAGAGAAATGTCTAATCTATTTATAAACGATACTTGAATAAAATACCATTGTGTGAAAAATCTTAAAAAAAAAACTGAAAACTTGTCTCACTTGTCTTTTGACATCGAGGCACAACACTGTTTTCTCATAATCATACTAACCTTTATTAATTTCGATGTAAATACTTCCTTCTTTTTGTCCATTAACTTTTTTAAATCCATATTAAGATATTCAAATACCATATAAAGACTGGAATCGGCTACTACAACATCAAATAATTGCACTATATTGTCATGTTGTAAATCTTTTAACAGGGATATTTCTCTTATAGCAGTAGAGGGCACACCCTCAGTTTCACTGGAAAATAAAACAATTTACAAGTTTTGTAACAAATTTATTAAAAAAAAAGAAACTCGTTTATAAACTAAATAAAAATTTACCTCATTCAAAAAATATCCAGAAATGAAGCGTGTAATAAGTTAATTTATAAGAATTAATAAGTTTGTTTAAATTTGTATATTTTACATTTTAGTAGATCATGATGTCGTATGAACTGCAAGACAAAGCCGAATCATGTGGTGCTACGTTAAACATTTTCAAATACATCGGAGCACGTACATGATTCGGATGTTGTCTAGAGTCATGTGGCATATTAATTCATAAAAAGAAGTTAATAGCTTTTGAAAATTTATGAAAATATATCTTTTTTATTTCACTGTATATACACGGATTACTTCTTATTTTACCTTTTCCTCAGCAAGTCGTTAAAGCTATGAATGTTAAAAAATCTAATTTAACGTCTAAACCTTAACAATGATGGATAGTGTTAGTGTTCATTCTCTTCATAACCATCGATCTGCGTAGAGAACTATTCAACATGTGGAGTATTGTTGCTACGTAGCTGAGATAGGTCTGTCACCGACGATAGTTAGAAAATCTAAAAATCCGTATACTATCGTGTAGACATTAAAAAGACAACATTCATTTTATTGCAGTGATCTCAATCTGTCGAGGTCCTGAATAAGTAAGTAAAGGAGTAAAGGGAGTAAAGGAGTATTGAAAGGGTAGTTTTATCAGATACTACGAGACGATAGGGATTGGAATGGCAGATTATAAGGACAGTCTTCTTGAAACTTCGAAGAACTCTTTCGGTGAAATAGTGCCACACAGAGAAAGATATTTGACGAGTCAAAATTCAAACGAGTCTATTGTTTTGTCTGTGTAATAATGTGCTGGTATTCTTCTGGGAGCAATAATTGGGAGATATCGCAGACCCGGCCAACAACATTTGACATTTCCCGCTTTTAGTTCATAAAATAAAAAGAAAGAACAAAAAAGAACTGACTTCAATCAAAACAAGATCATGAAGGAACATGATTAAAGATTGATATGTGCACACAATCGGGAGACAAATGAGGCCAATAAGATCCTATCGCGTAAATTTATTAAAACCTCTACTCATCAATCTTGTTCGACATTATGTCTATCCACGAAGAATAGTAAGCGCCAGCAGAACAAAATATATTGTTTCGTTCTGCTGGCGCTGTTAAAAAAACCTGTTCCCGAAAATGTTAAGCTTTTCCGGCTATTAAGGAAAGTTTCCAAACTATTCTCTATAAAGTAGATGTACCACCTAAAGTAAGATCTGCAAGACAAGTCCCAATTCAAAAGAATCTATGTTTTTTTCTGTATTATCTTAGGATAGTTCTATTCTGGCCGCAACAATTGGGAGAAGTTACCGATCCGGCCAACAGTATAGGACATCCTTCACTTTCGTTCAGTAATTTTAGAGAAAGAGCTAAACAGAACCAGCTGCAGTCAAGCCAAGAGAATGTAGAAGAATACTGCTTTTTGTAGGTCACAAAAACTTGGCGTTGATAGCGATGATGGATCAGCTGTCTTATATAATCTTTCCCCGATATACCGGTAAATAGATAGCGATATTCAGAGAGATCCAAATATAAAGACAAATAAAGGTACAATTTGTTAATTTCAAAGAATTAAGATGATTTTTTTATTTAACATTATCTAGTAATTTGTTAATAACCTGCAAAAATTGCGACTACTCGGCACATGTGTGTAGAGTACTCCTCAAAGGACAGGTCCAAAACTAATGCAAATATATGAAAAACATACTCCAATCAACATTCTGATGTCCTCGGTGAGGACTACATAATTCATACATGCTTCAGACTAATATCAAAACTACTCCATTGCTAACGTTATGGGGGAACATGGTCCGCAACATAGTTCTTTGTTGTTATCAAAAAAGTAAACATGATTAATGTCTGCATTAAATAGGACTACTAAACCGATTTATGCAGGGTAAATTTAAAACTTTGTAATTGAATATTGAATATCCAAAAAGTCCATTTTATATAGATTTAATTTTCGTAGCTTTTTTTCCTTTTAAAATTACTTAAAAGATTTTAAGCTAGAAAAATTTTAATAAATCTCTATATCCTTAAAATTTGAAGTTACTTTTAAAAGGTGATAAGATCAGAAAATGTTTGTTTTTATCCCAAAATTAAACACCTTAAACAACAAATATGTAAAGTTTATATCAAACACCAATACAATCCTTTAGAAATCTGAGTAAATGACATTCATGAAGGACATTCATACAATGTTACAACAGGCAGGCAAGCAAGCAGTTAGGCAGACAGCACCTGTCTTCTTATTGACCCGACCTCTTTTCACTATGCATAACACCATCATCATCGCCATTACTATTTTAAAAACAAATTTCTATATGAACTTAATACACACAAACACGATTCATGCCCCAAAGCAGCCAAACAACAACGACGACTTCGACACCAGTAAAAAATGTATAAATTAAGGACATTTGTCGGAGAAATACAATTTACATTTGAAAACTTCTGTATCACTTTTGTAAAGAACATTTTGAACACAATAACACTTCTATTTAATACTAATTTTTAATGTTTTAATTATAAAATTTACCTTTCCAAACGTATTTTCTTGAGGGCAACATCCTTGCCAGTTTTAGTGTCTCGCGCCTTATAAACAATGCCATAAGTGCCCTCGCCAATTTTTTCGATTCTTTGAAAGCTACCGACGTCATGCATTTTTGATGTTTGTTTATTTGAATTATTAGTGATTTAAGTTATTGTTTTTGTTGTTAATTTTTAATGTTTTTTTTATTAAAATTTGTTTTGTTACAGAAAAACACTGCACCACACACACAACACAAAATGCCTGAACGCAAAAAAGCCGCAATTCTGCGCCGACAAACATTAACAACGGCGGCGGCTGATATTAAAAATTGTGGTGGCGGCTTAACATCGATTGTAAGTCGGCTAAGATTTCAGACGTGTTTTTAATTTATTCAACGATTTTGAATGTGTATCTGATTGATAAAAAGCTGGATTTTGGAAGAAAATATTTTAAAAAATTGAAATAATAAAAATTGTCTTATAGAAAATTGGTATTTAATACAACTCAATATACTATAAAAACTAACTCTAATATATAAAAAGGCATGTTCCATTTAATAGTGCAATGTCCTAGATGATGACCACGCATTACATCAAACTAATCCCAAAAGTACTCATACAAAAAAATGCGCTAAAAAGTCGAAATTTGAACAAATAATATGATGTTTTCAGTCATTTAGCAGCGCCGGATTTGAATTTTTTCGGCGTTGGCTTAGATCTCTGAAAATAAAAAAAGCTGCAAAAATGCTACAGTTATCGAAGAAGCCACTAAAAATATTATTGATGATACTTTATTGATAAGTCGATAAAGTTAAATGTGTACACAGAGTTGTATTTATAGGTAATGCTTTTTTGAAGGTGGTTGTCTTTGCTAAATCACAGTTGTGTGAGTGCGGCGTTCAACACACAAACACGTACATTTCTTACGGGAGATTTTTGCTAACGGACCCCCTCCCCATCTAACTTATTGAAAAACTTCGCATAAAAAGGTGAGTAAATAGAACTAAATAAACAAAGAAGTCCCAATAAACCAAACGATATTACTTAAGGCTCAGTTACTAACCGTTACGGAACGGAACGTAGAAACTAACTGAGCCTTTAGGAGATAAAAACTATGATCTTATGAAGTGATAATCGTTCTCGTATCGAGAACGATAGTATTTACGTACTAAATGGTATGATATTGTTTTTCCAAGAAATTATGATATAGTTTTCGTTATAATAAATTCCAAAAATACAACAAGTAAGAGTTGTATTCTTATATACACACCATCAAATCATTACCATATACATAAATAATCTTTGATATCTATGAATATTTTATTATCATATGTATGTATATCGATATTAATAAGAACATCAGGGTAATATTTGAAAAAGGTCCATTAATGACGGTTCCGAATTATAAAATATTAATTTTTAAAAACAAATCCTTTTTGTCGAATTTTTTTAACCATAATAAACGGTTCTTTTGTAAGAGGAGCTACATTCGTGGTAAGGTCAATTACGCACCTATTCTCATCTGTTTATACACCAATTATTTGTTTTGAATTGTATCGCTGTATTCGTATCTTATTTCATAGTTTTAAGTAACTAATGAGAGTTAAAGTAATAGGGAATAGGGTTATATATAGAACAATTCTCATCAATGTCCTAATTTATGTCAAATTTCCTAGATACTACTCGTATCAACCAATAATGAGCGCTAAATTAATTTTCTTAAACGGACCTTTCTAAATACTACTCGTATCAACCAATAATTAGCGTAGGTTATACAAAACTAGTTAATGTCTAATTTTATTTATTGTATTTTTCAGCGAGCGTTAAAGTCATTTTCTGAAGGGGGCATTATATAGGGGGGTTAGTATCAGTTATGATCCGATCATTGTTTAATATTGTAGAACGATTTTGTTTATACAAATCCTATTTATGTCGAATTTCATCGCTAAATTTTATAGAATGATTTTGGTTCATACTCGTTTTTTAAGTCATACAAAACTAGTTTATGTCGAATTTCATAGATCTTTAAGCCAGTGCTGAGCATAAAAGTCATTTACCGATCCTCGCAAAATTTTGTAAAACGATTTTGGTTCATACAAATGTACTCTAATTTTTAAGCCAGTAATGGATTTGGGTCATGCAAAACTTTTTTATGGAGAATTTCGTCATCATACAGTTATTTTTAAGCCGGTAATGGGCTTTATAGTAATTCCTACAGGAGACCTTATATGGGGGAAGCGTCAATCATGGACTTGGTCCTCTTAAAATTTAATACAAAGATTTCGGTACATATAAAACCTGTTAATGTCGAATTACATTGCTGTATTTTTAGCCACAAATGATTATTATAATAATTTTTGGTAGGAATCCCAATATGGGGGGTATGTCCATAAGGTCCTATGTCCGTCATAATTCAGAAATAAATGTTTGTAAGACAAAAAACTGACTTATGCGAAATTTTGTCGCATTTGCATCATAATCAACGAATTTGTGAATGTTTTTACACAATATTCCGGGTGTACATTTACAGTAAATCAACTAAGTTTTTTTCCTATATTTTTAAAGAGAATTTTGCTTTTTGTTCATAAATAAAATTCGATAAAAAGTAAATTTATGTTTTCCACTTAAAAATAGCAAATATGTAAAATGGGAAAACCGTGTAAAAAATATTAAAATACATATTTTGGTGCATTTGTTGTTGCATTTTATTATTATTCATCAGAATTTGCAGGTCAATAAAGTATTTTGCATTTTTAGAATTCCAATTAATTAAGTATTTTTCAACTGCAATTTGCAAAAATTTTGTTCTAATTGTGTGAAACTGTGAAATTATTTGCGTTAAAAATGTTTAAAGATAAATAATGAGGCAATTCCAATATAAAAAATTAGTTTAGGTTTGTAACCATGAAAAACCATTTAACTCCTCATTTATCTTCTCCAAAGTCCATATACGAACTAGGAAGAACAATATTTTTAAATTTAGATCTCTAAACAGACCTTAAGTTGTTTGGAACCAATATAAAGTGAACTGTCGTGTGGCATAGGAGAAATACTTAATTTAGACATTTACAAATATAGGTGGTTATCATCACCTAAGGTCCACAAAACCAATATTTTTTAGCTAATACATACACTTATATTTATTTAGAACTCTAATCAAGAAAAACTATCCAGATCCAAATACACCTATGGTATTTTATTCATAAAATAAAGCATTCAAAACATGAGGTAGAAAGTAAAGATTTTAGCATGTAATAGTTCTATAGTGGTATACGGTGATGTCCCCATACTTAGAGTGGCTAGGATGGTACTTAGTGTTAGCTTTATTGAATAAGAACCAATATTATACAATTCTAAATAAAATTCACACAGTACTCCACAAATAGATGAATTTTCAGTAATGTAGTTTTTGTTTATAATACCAAATTATTGATAAACAAAATGATATATAGTTTTATACCCCACAAAACATTTTTTCTAGGTCCAAATCCATTAATTTTCTAGTATATTATGTTTCCAATTCAAAATTAATTATTATTTTCGAAATAAAATCAAAGAAACGATAGAATTCTTGTTAAGTCAAATATTGATAAATTCTTATAGGTATATAGGATAATAAATCGGTTAAGAAATGTTCAAATTTAGTCGTACCACTACTAAAATATCTAAAAATTGTTATTTTAATATATAGAAGTAATAAAAATGTTAAATTTTAAAAAATAATTCAGCAATATTAAAAAAATTAACAGAAAACCTAAAAAAGCAAAATACTTAATTGACCTAAAAAATTACCAATACGTTCACATTTTATCAAAAATCTCGTTAATTAATATCACGATTTTATTTTTTATGGTAGAAAATTAAAATATATATTTTTTAAAAGATACAACAAACAAATTTCACAATTTTGGTAAAATAATTTATCAGATAAAGTATTAAAATTATAAAATTTTACATAAGCAAATTACTTAATTGATTCAATGTATATGGGGGCTATGTGAAATCGTTGACCGATTTTGCAAATTTTCAATACCAAACATTTCTGATCAATAAAGAATATTTTGGAAAAATTTAATCTCCCTATCTCTTTTTTTGTGGACGCTATCGTGCCAACAACAGACAGACGGACGGATATAACTAGATCGTCTTAGAATCTTATGGGGTCTATGAACAATATTTCGATGTGTTACACAGACGGAATGACAAATTGAAAATTTCAAAAAGTTATTTCTTCAATGGTTAAATTTATTATAAATTTTCTCTCCAACTCTCTGCCATATGACAACCAACCAAAAAGTCACCTCAATATAAACAAACAAACAAAAAAGGTTTACAAAAGAAACCACACACATGCATTAAAAGGAAACCTCGAAACCGTTAATTTCAACCGAAAATGTTGTTAAAAAAGAAACAGAACAAAATAACAAGAATAACAATTTAAGACAACACAGCAAAAGGTTATAAAAACGTAATAAAATATAACGGAAAAGTACAAAAACAACTTTTCATTATCATTGTTGTATGTAGTTGTTTTTGCTGTAACCGCTTTCTTTGTTACTCATACGCAATGTAAAATAACAAAACAAGCAAAATATTTATAAAAACCACATAAGCCCACAAACGGATGAAAAATATAAAAAAACATACAAACCCACTAACATACATATTGACAGTTTTAAACAGGCACATATACACAAACATACGCGAAACACTAGGATCTCTTTATTTTTTTTAGAACAGTAAATTTATGACTGAATAAGATGTAAAAAAACATAAACAAAGCGTCTTTAGAATAAATAAATCTCAACGTTGTGAAGAGGAAAAACAGTCATTAAAGCATTAACACAATTAAAGAAGTTGTTACCAGTTCCGGTAGAAAATTATATGTATCTAAATGCAAAATGTGTGGGAAGGACTTCTTTGAATGAAAAAGCAAAACTAATCTGTGATCACTTACTTGTTTGTATTCGGTACCGTTGTTCAAGAAAATTTTGTTTGTAATTTTTGTGGGAGAAACTCGCAACGGATAATGTTCTTATCTAATTATGATGTTCATAAGAAAGGTCGGTTTTTCGAAATTACGTCGCAACAAAATGGGAAATTTCAGAAGAAAAAATGAAAACTGATTTATTAGTTCAGGCATCAACTCAAAGCATAATGGACAGCAGTCCTTAAAAACAGATTTCGTAATTCCGAAATGAAAAAGTTATGGATCCTGGCGTCATGAAATAACTCCCCACGAAATAACTCCCCAAAACAAAAATGAAATAAGTCATCAAATTTGGGGA